TCCATCCATACACACGCTGATTTCCACAAACAAAAAGAACATGCTCAGCGCCTAAATATATGCATCCAGTTGACATGAGCCATTATTAAACCCAAGCGGGGTGGAAGCTATGAGCAGCGCTATCGCGTGTAGCCCTGACCGCACCGCTTGCCCCGACCGCGGCAGGCCTTCCACTGCTCGTGTCATTAAAAGGGACGGAGCCCCGCTCGGTAATTCTGCAATGATTAGAGGTAAACGGCCGCAGATGATGCTAAATGACGATCACAGAACGCACAGAAACACGAGCGGGACGGGAAGCAAAACCGAGCGCATGCATTTGATTAGGTACAAATGCTAAGCGATGTGTTACTAAGAGTGATGAAGCCCCTTAATAAGCATGTAGGAAACGCATATGCTTCCACTGGGAATAAAGGGACATAAATCAGCTCTTTACAGAGGAGTGCATGTCTGCTTATGCGTGTGTCTGTGTGTGTCAGAGAGAGAGTGTGTGTGTCTGTGAGCAAGTATGTGTACAGCAGTTGTGAGAGTGTACAAGTGAGAAAATTTGTGTTTTTGTGTATCCATGTGTGTGTGCGTATGAGAGAGTGTGAGTGAAAAAGCATAGGTTGGTGTGTGTGCGTGTGTCATGTGTTATCCATGCGTAATGTAGCTGAATGAGGTCAATGAGAGCTGAAACAGAGCACTCTCTGATTTAAGGTGTTTATTATGAGCCAATTCAGAGGGATTACACAGAAAGTCACCATAATACTATGATACCATAATAACAAAGCTGAAAAAAAAGCAGAAGCATGATACATCTGCCAGTCAGGGCTGTAACGATGGATGAGTGGAGAATACATTACAGCTGCCTAACCAAGTAAAGCTATGGTTTAAGGAGAAAGGGGATCTGCTGACTGCTAACAACAACACAATTCGAAAAGTCCTGCAATTCTGCAGTCTGAGAGTGCCCAGGCAAGCCTTTGATAAATTCTGGTTTGGGTGGCTGACAGACATCTGTTGTTTATGAAGCAAAACTGGAAAAAAAAAAAAAAAAAAAAAAAGACAGCATGAGAATTCACCCAGCGCAAACCAAACACTGCGTTCCAGTAATGCAACTGAATATAATCAGTTGTCTTGGGTCTTTTTTTATCAGCAGCAATACTACCTGCCACATTTGGCATTTTCAAATAGAAAATGATACAAAGTTATTCACAAACATTGGACCAGGAGAAATGACTAACCTTTCCAATATACACTACACCCTGATCTGCAGTTGGTGCCTCCACACATTTACTGATCTCATGCAATGACACTTAAAGATACGAGCACAGAATTCATAGCCTTAATATTAAAAACATATTAGACTGTATAAAAGTGGAAAAGCAATGCATTCACCTCTGAAAGAGAATTCTATGGATGGCTGGCTTTAATTTGCAACCCAAAGAACTTTCAGAAGCTGAACCTTGCAGGCAGAATAAATTAATCCAGCGGCCCATATAAGCCCTTGGGCAGAGCCAGGAAGTGAGCCTTACGGAAATATTACTCGAACGCTAATAAACGAGCGGAGAGTAATTGCAGCAGATGCAGCGTGTCCCGTGCGAATCCCCGGGCGACTGCAACGCGATACATCCTGCCATTTGGCGAGGAGGCTCCTCTCGCGATGTACACGGCGCGGGCATCGATATCGAGGTAGCGGCGGGGCGTTATTCGCCAGAAACCCTCAGGAGCGTGAGGGGACGGGGAGGGGACCACAGGGGGACCACGGTGGCGGAGAGCTGAGGGCAGCAGGGGCCTCATGGGATTTGCCAGCAGCTGTTATATAGTTACCCCTGGGAGCCCCAGATCACGGCACCAGGACCTGACACAGACGACACCAATTACATCAAAGTCACCGTCACGCCAGCAAGCAGTCCGGCCAGCACCATCCCCACCCTGACCGGAGCACTGATCTGGAGTCAGTAGGGGACGGCCGGGGGGGTCAGGATTCTAGAGAGACCGTGACAGGAGAGAGGTGTGCAGGCCAGACATGCATGGATCAATAAATAGCAGTGTGCTAGAATGCCTGTGCTCTTTCCCTCTATCTCTGTAACATGGCGATGTGTCCCACACCGATACACTCAGAGGCCAAGGGGACTGCGAGGGGGGTGAGGGGGTGAGGGTGGCCACCTCTGAAACGTAAGCCCTCATTTCTGCGCATTCCTGTCATACTCGCCCCTGAGAAACGCTGACCCGTCTCCGACAGGTGCCTGCTCCATTAGGCCACGCTGACAGCCGGCCTTTGTCGTGTCTCTGTTTTTCTTTCTTAGTGGGGTTAAAAAGTATCGCTTATGTGGTGGCCTTGGTATGCGGCTTAGTCATCCTTGCAATGGAATGCAACGGCTAATATCACATCTGAGCGCTTCAAGATAATGCAGTTTTTCGGGCAGTCTCATCCATTAAAATGTATTTTAGCTATATCAGAGGGGTGACTCCATTCACTTCCCCATCTTGCAAACAGTTTCAGCTGATTTTAAATGGTAAACAGAGGTGAGCCATGCAAAACAGGTTTAATGAAAAACTCCTCTCCGTTCATTTTAAAGAGGCTGCTGGAAAAGCCATTAACAGTCTATCCAGAGTTATGACACAAAGTGTTTCAAAACAGAGCACTCAAAACATTTTCAAACACAGCCTTCAAGAAATGAGAAAAACAGCAGGAGGACGTTTAGGTCGCCGTTACACATTCACGCTATGTGTTGAAGCAAAAACCAGTTTTAGTCTCTGCTGCCACCTAGTGGTGACGCGTGGAATTTGATCTCACTGGCAAAAGTATAGGTATCATTTCATCTCAAGCAATTTTATATACACAAAAAATGCATTTTCCGGTGATATAAGCACATGTGTCCCTTCGACGATGTAAGCAAATGGCCTCCAGAAACACTCTACGTGACATGGATTTAAATTTCTTTTCCATTGACTCTGTTTATACTATGTCCCAAAATCCCTACAGCCCATTATTCATTTAGTTCTGGTAGTTTTTCTTGATGAAAATGTCGTCTTGTAACATTTTTCCTAATCAATACATGTGGCAATGCCTGTGGAAATGTCACTATATCTGCAAAGCTGCAAAGCCATCACTCATTTGAGTTCACTCTGCCTATTCTCCACTACAATCTGCTAACACACTCCAATTTGCAGCAGGAGAATAACATATATTCATTCAAGAACGCCCTTTTAGCAAATCAAGCATTTTCAAAATGCTAGCAGAACCAGCAGAATAAGCCATTAACATGCATAAAACACATTCGATCAATCGCGCAAGGAAAATACAGCACAATGCAATACAAACAATGATAATTAACATCAATACTATCTCAAACGAGGACACGGTGCTATCTGAGATCAATCGCCCTCAATTTTCCACCAGAATAGCTTAATTGTTCCTGCGCAGCACTACGTCCACGCCACTGCTCAACGCATCCACAAGATGGCGCTGATCTCACAGAAACACAGTTGAGGATGGCAGACCCTGCTCTTAGCTGCCAGTCATCAGAGGCGCTGCTTCATTGGGAGCCACTTAATCTCCATAGGGGGTCTCTGGCACTGGGAAATTAGATCTGAAGCTTGTTTACACACAGAGAAGAGAAATGTAGTCTCCTTTTACCCAGACATGACTACAGTAACCACACAAACAATATAACAGATTTAATCAAGCTGGGTAAAGTCACCATCAATCCTGAGGCGATGGGCGGTTTTGCATTTCACGGAAATATTCCCCCTTTAACTCGAGGGACAGCGGCCGAAAAGCCATCACGGCAACATTGCTAATGAGAGTGAAGTAAGGGCCTTGCGTGCTCAGTAATCAGGAGGCAGGAGCCGTCTGAGTCAGCCCCCTCATTAACAGCGGCTCTCGCTGTTTCCACTCTGATCCGCTTCCTGCGGACAACAGCGTCGCGCAGACGATGTCCACACATCGCGCACAGATGGTCCCAGACATCAAAGGAAAGCAGAACACGCGGGGCTCCCATGGGGGTTGGTTCTGAGCGCAAACCGAGGCCGACAGCACAGACCCGCTCTGAAGACGGGCTGTGTCAGTGGCCGATAACGACCAGGAGCCCGCAGCCTCCAGGCACATTTGGCTTCCTTCTGGGTTTAGTCAGCCAGTGTCCCTTCGCCCTGCTGCTCATTAGCGCACTCTAGTGGCTCGTCAAGCACCTGTGAATTATTCATTTACAAACACAAATAAAGCAGCCAGACCCCTTCCTTTCTTCATCTGACAATCTGAGCAAACATCTCCCACCATCGTCTTCATAAAATCATGTGCGTTCCCGTTGCCACTGCTTCCAATCCTTAAAGCTCCACCCCCTAGCTGCTCCTCCCCTTTCACACCTACATGCTCCACCCCTTTCACCCCAGCTTGCCCCGCCCCATCACACCTGCTGGCTCTGGCCCTATCACTCCTGGCTGTACTGAGGACGGTGTTCCTTTGGACCCTACAGGTAAACTGGCCTGGGTCACATCTGCTAATGTTTCCTTACACATGACAGACATCCCTCCACCCGCCTCCCTGATTACCATCCTTGGCTACACTACCTTTCCTGCCAGTCCAAGGGCAAACTTCCACAAGCTGTCCTTGGTAAGAGGAAACTGTCGTCACGCAAAGTGGGCCTGTTAATGGACAAAGCATGCCTCTCTGTCCCTGACAAAAAAAAAAAAAAAAACCCAGAGTGGACCCCCCAGTCTCCTGTAACCCAAACCAGATGTTTCTTCACTAAAGGGGAGGATGACAGTGACAGCCTCTTTAGCATCCCCAACCCCGTTTCCTGACACACGCGTGTAACGCTGGATCAAAGCAGGAGCCGGCCTTCCTTGCTGCACTGATCAAACTCTGCTGCAGTGTAGGCTGTAAACACAATACCTCTTCATTACGAGGCAAATCTGGGACATTACATCATTACATTACATTATTGGCATTTAGCAGACTCTCTTATCCAGAGTGACTTACATTGGTTACACTTTTTTTTTGCCAAAGGGTACAGCAACAGTGTCACAGGAGAGAATCGAACCGACAACCTTTTAAGTAAGAGTCCTACTCCTTAACCACTATACTACACTGCCGCCGATCAATGCTCCCAGCATCCATAAATCTGCTTAAGACACTGCACAAACGTTTCAGGCCACTGATACAGCAAACACCAACACAGGGTCACACAGCAGAGTCATGATTTTGAATGCACCCACAGCCCAACGAGAACTCAGTCTAAGACTCCCCTAAATTATCAGCACTTCAGTGAAATAACTGGACCGGGACAGCTAATGACAGCCTGTGAAGCCCGGGTGATAACGGAGAGAGGAGAGAGTGTGGAGGGAGAGTGAGAGACTGCGTGGAGACAGAGCTGCGTCTCTCAGCACCACAGCCGAGCAGCTGGACCCCTGGGGGCTCTCTGTCCCTCTGCGCCGACACATAGCTGCTCTCACTGAGCACAGCTGAAAGAAATCAGAAATCAGAAAACCGAAAGACGCAAAAAAAAAAAAAAAAAAAAAAAAGAGACAGGACTGAGAGTGCGGAGAGAGGAGAGCTTAAAAACCCAAAATCCCAGACCGGAGCGAAGATGTGCTACAAGATGAGCCTGTAGACACGCCTCAGCCACAGGGCTGTCCCGCAGAAACGAGGAGAAGCCCGACCGGGGGCTCTGCAGAGAGGGGACCGAACCGGAGCTCAGAGGCCGCGCCGCTACACAGTGCAATTAAAATTACAGCAGGCCAGAGGCCCAAGCCTTTTATCACCACATAAATGACTGCCGCTGCAGCTCCGGGCCCCGACTGAACAATCTGCTGCAGAGTGATATCCCAGCTGCGGCAGCCGATGGCTGCGGTCTCTCTCACACACACACACACACACACACACACACACACACACACACACACACACACACACGGAGGGGCGGAGAGGTGATTACAGATGACGCATCCCGCTTGCCACCCCGCACACATCACCCTAACAACGCACCTCAGAGCACAGAGCACGACACACTGAGGGGTCCTACAGATAACGGGAACGGAAAAAAGCCGTCCATTTATGTTCAATAAGCGAGACTCCCAGAGGAGTTATAAAAGCATGCACTGCAGGGTTACTGTGTTTTATGTTCAATCGATCGAGGTCTTCCATTCAAAGAAAAATGTGCTCACTTCTCATTGATAAAATACCCCCCCCACCACCACCACACACTCCACTCGGACCAAGCTGAATGAGCTAGATTTTACTGTGCATTTCCCTGTGTGTTTTAATCGACCCCTCTCTTGCAGGCTTGTGGTTTCAGGTTCTGTTCTCTCTCCTGCTGTCTTTACAGAGAGAGAGAGAGAGAGAGAGAGAGAGAGAGAGAGAGAGAGAGAGAGAGACAAAGATGGGAGGGGGTAGAAAAAGATAGATGTAGAGGGAGAGAGATAAAGAGGAAGAGAGGGAGAGACAAAAATGTGGGGACCTATATAGAGAGAGAGTGAGCGAGTTAGAAGAGGGGAGAGAGAGAGGGAGAGAGGGAGAGAAAGGCAGACTCACTGCTTTGATAAGGTGACGGTCAGAAAAGGACAGGTGTGTGGGGAGGATGTTCAGATTAATGTATGCTCATTGATTTCCCTTCACTCTCATAGATTCATGAGGAGTGCATCTCCTGTGATATCAAATTATAATTCGTCTAAAACTTTTTGATCAGCAGGCCAGAAATGGAAAAACCGAGGTGAAAAAGTTTTCGGATACGCTGAAACATGAAGTAGTTTTAGGCTAGTTATATACCGGATGACCCAGCTTGCGGTCCCAGTATCAGGGGTGCGTTATATACATCTAATAAAAGCATCCCGCAACAGCAGAGATTTATGGCTCTCACACCAGCGCTGTCACATTAAGGCCGAGAAATTTTCTCTGTCCTCCAGGTGAATAATTTAGGTCACGCTGTTCGAGCGCAGGCACTGTACTTTCACAGTTCAGACGGAGAGTGTGTGGGTGAGGGCAGCTTCCTCATGCTGCACTCCCAGCACACAGAGGTGCAGCAGGGTCTGCGGGCTTCTAAGGCCTTCCTGTGCAAGGTCAAAGGTCAAAGGTCAGGTTCAGGAAATAGCCGAGTCCGGCCAAAAACAGGTCATACTTTGCATTCTAGCTGAGAGGCAAAAAAACAGCAACACAAGACACAATGCAAAGCAGAAAACATGGACACCATAACCAATAATGCTTATTACTGTTCTGGCAAACACCTGCAGCCAGGGCACCCAGCAGAGGATTAGCAGATAGGCTTTCAGAAGAGCCACATGAGGTCTGAAGCAACAGATGACAGTTAACAATTAGCAAATTAGCTAATCAAATTAGTGTGATACGTCTCAGAATGGTTTTTCCATAACTATTATTCACAAACAGAAAAATAAAAAAAGAGGCAGTTACTTCTTGTTCTACTGGTTCAAGTCCAAAGGCAAGTCTCCATCAGGACATTACTGCTGGCTTTGCAACTTGTGGTGGCTAATTGCTGTTGAATATTAATGAGCTTGACTGGGCTTCCAAGTACAGCATATCTATTTTCCATCAATAGGGGAGTTAAAAATGCAGATGTGCTTGTAAGTTTTTGTCTCAGAAATTCACCTGTGCTTCAGGGTCATAACCCAATGCATTTTCTGAGCAAAGGTCAAGGTGCACTAGCAAAAAAGCCTAAAATCCATACTTGCTAATGTACTCTATTGTGGTTCTACCAAATGTAAATGGCTTTGAGGTCTGAACAAGCACTTTAAAGCTATTTAAAGCCTCAAGGCTTTAAAACAAAATGTATTGCATTTCCTGGGGAAAAAAAAGGTGATGACCTTGATGACCTCAGAGCAAGACCACGGTTCACTGTAACCATGGAGACAAAGGTGATCTCTTCCACAGCTTTCAGTGCACCTGCAAAAGCTGCACTCTACAAACTCTGTGACCCAGAAGACACACACAACGTTCTCACAGCCGTTACAAAACATTGCAGCAACACTACCCCAAGGAAACATCAAACATCACGTTTGCCATTGAGAGAAGATTGTGTCTGCTGAGAATACACTTTAGAGAGATGGGAGGGCACCACTGAGGATGTTTCCTAACTAGTAACAGTGCGCCCACGTCAAGAAGACCAGCTGCACCCTAACTCTTGCTGCCCAGTGGGAACTTCACCCTGTTAGACAATGCTGTGCGTTTTTCTCAGACCAAAACACCCAACTTAAATATTACATTACAGCTTCACATCCTACGTTATGCGCTCTGCCAAAACACATACCCTCTTACCCTCTTGCAGCTTGGGGGAGACGCTATTTTTAATTTCTCTGCTGCTTGCAGGCACACCAAAGTTCCTGTGCTGTGTGTGAAGTTTTTGTTTGGAGCGCAGGCAGGATTCAGGCTCAGGCCTCCAGAGAACTCCCACATCCAACGCTCCCCCAGTTGGAGATCTCGCGCTCCGTCTCCCCTCCCGTTTGCTCTTCATTCTCCTATTTGCCGCCGATTCCACATGAAACGCAGAATCTGCAGTCTGTAATTAGGCCCTGACTGTCAGAGCGGTATGCTGAGGCCGGCCTGAGGGGACCGTCTCAGGAGGGAGAACCGCGGGTCTTCAGAACCAACTTGGAGGCCCCGTCACAGTTCAGCCTGGGTTCAAACCAGCGGATTTTACACAGGCACCTAGTGGCCAGCTTTCCTCCTGATGAAGCTAAACCACTCTAAACAAGACCCACTCCAACAGCAAATTATATTTCAGTGCAGATGAAGCAGTGTGGTACATGTATTACTTGCTGCTTTTTTTTTTTTTTTTTTTTTTTTTTTACGCGTAGCATCACAATGTGTTTTGGATTCTGTGATCTAGTGACTGATGTATGGTAGTGTACCTGGCTTCCCTTGTCTAGTCGAGTTGCACAATTTAACTTGTGGTAGGGCTTGAATAGCATTATGCTCAAACTCACTGGTCTGGAAGTGCTGTTAGCCTGGTCTGACACTGTTGTTCAAGCACTTTGAGTGGATACACTTATGTTCTATTTTGCTGGAGGTCGCTCTAGACAACAGCATCTGCTAAACAAATGTTATGTTGTGTAATGGTAATTGATGATGGGATACAGAAAAGGAGACACTTCTCCACTACTCACAACCTTATAAAGGGTTTTATTTCCTGGTTTAAAAAAGAGGCGTCCCTTCATTTTGGTAGACTGGCAGCACTGGCTTTCCAAACACAAGAGCAGAGCTATTCAGCGTTTCGGGCGTGAAGTGACATGCTCATTAGCTGGAACCCCGGAGCTGCAACATACTGACTCTGGAGAGCAGGACAGGGGACCCGAATCGCTAAAACAGTCCCCGTTTCAAACTCGCTTCACTATATTCAAGATTTACAGCGTCGGTTTTCCCCCTCCGCTTGCTTCCCGCTTTGCAATAACCCTCAGAAATGTTTCGGCCAGACCATATCCCCAGGGCATCCTTCACACAGTCCGTACAAGCTCCAGATGTTGCTACGCTACCACACTCCAAACAGAGAGGCCTGCAGGCTCAGGGCTACCTGACAAAGGCCACTGACACAATACGAAACCTTCAGACGATGCCGACCGCAATACCAGGTCCTGTTCGAATTTAATTAAAAACACTGTGCTTCTGGCACGAGCCTGACTGGACAGGCCACTGTTAGATATGCTGACGTTAGTCTTTCCTCTAACAGGACAAGCGCTGAAGCAACTCTCACGGGCCCTGTCCTCATTGTTTGTACCGGTACCTGGACATCTTGTTCACAATCAGATGCCCTCTCTGTGCTTTGAGGCCTTGCCTTTTCGGTTCTGACATCAGCCTTGAGTGCAACCCGAAGCAAGCTTTCACAGTTAGCACTAAACAGACACACACCTTCACCATGCTGACAGGCTCCTTGAGTTGACACAAGATGGAAGCAATGAGCTTCCTGTTGCTTTTCAAGGACGTACATCGTGTGGCACTGGAAAAAATTATGATGGTTACAGTGAACTAGATCCAGGCACACTCCGTGTCCATTTTAAGCTTTTTGGGCCACTGGGGACTAAAGCATTTCATTCCAGTAACGGTCTCTCCACTGCCCTTCGCTGCAGGAATACTGAATAACGCCCCCAGA